TCATATTGAACATGATAAACACTAATAGAATATTCAATAACATTAGAGTTATATATCAATACTTTAAATATGAACATGATACATTGGATAAAACAAAGGCTATTGTAGGAGTGATATATCAAATCAATAATAACACTAACAAAAATTAATTTAAGAATCAAAATAAACGAGATACAATTAAATTCTGTATCTTTGGTAGTGATGATCGTGTATTGACAAATTCAACTTTTTTTCTTCTTTCTTTGAGCGTTTTTCAACAGTAGATTTAGAACTCGAGTATGCATCATTTTTTCGACTCCTCTGCTCTCAAATTCTTCATGATTAGTAGATCGATTTGTTGATTAGATCTATTATCATGAAAATTTTCATCATTAGAATCAAATACACAAGGTACCATGTCTCTAGTAGGTGAAACTAATTTGGGTAAACCCAAAACTAAAAGAGGGAGCAAAATCCATATGTATTATAAAATTGTAGATAAAAAAGCTAAAAAAAAATTTATTTTAAAATGACAATTGAAGAACTGGAAAGAAAAAAAATGATGAAGAAATAGTTCTATCTCTTTAGGAACTTGAAATCGATGAACTGGAGAGAGAATATATTTGAAATTCAAAAATGAAGTGATGGATGTAGCTGCCGATATATGAGAGTGATTTTAGGCGTGAAAATTGGAACAAAATCGTTGGATTGGAAGGGCGGTGAATAATTTATCCAGAAATGGAGAGAAAAAGAGAAAAAAAAGGGATTTTTGTAATATTTTGAAATGGTAGGAAATTTTAGAAAATGTGAAAATAAAGGCTGTGTAGTTAGGTCTTATAAATTGTATTTTATACCTAATTAAAACTTATAAACTTTAAGACATTTTCTCCCTATAAACAAAGGAAATTATAATCACCACAATAAAGAGGTAATAAAGGATTATAAGTTGAGAAAGGTTGAAAAATTCTTTTTTGACCACAGGAAAAGAGAAGAAAAATACCATTAAATTTCATTAAATCAAAATTTAATTAAATTTTAATAATTAAAAAATAGATTAAATTAATTCTATTTTTTCTTTTAACCAAAAATCGATCTAAACAGACTCAAACATCCTATGTCCAACCCCTTAAAGCATTTGACTTTTGTTGTAGGTACATCCAAAGTAAAACTTCCACCGTTCCACGACACATCTATCATACGGTCTTATGGTACTCAGTAGTGTGTTATTGCTGGCTTAATCAATTGAACTTATGGTATACTATAGTTGTTTATACTTGAAAATATTAATAATATTCTACACTAAAATTATTGAAGAACAAAAAAACATGGTATAGTGAGTAGTGACAAAATAAATGGCCAATCATAAAAGAACATTGTTTGGGTGAAAGGGATCCTTTGATCAAACAAGGGCAATAATGTTAGGTAAAGTTTTCTCAAGTACTCCACGGTCCCTAATTACTTGTCCACTTTTGAATTGACACACCTATTAAAGAAATAATTAAGGGAAAAAGGACATATATGTCCCCGAACTATCGTAAATGGTATGTATATACCCTTCGTTATACTTTTAGGTTGTTAGTACCCTTACCGTCCAAATTTTGGTGCATCTATACCCTTTATACTAACGGTGATACACGTGTCTTAATCCTATCAGCCGATCCGATATTTAATAAATTTCTATCCAAAAAAAAAAAACCCACCTGATTCATTGAAAATCCACCCAAATAAAAAAAGGGGAACTTACATAAATATACTATAATAAAAAAATATTTACCATTTATAGTAATAATATTTTTTTCACTTGATCACTTTTAATACATTTATAATACAGTTTTAATACATACTACAAAGAACAATTTATTATTCACATATAATTCAAGTTTTATTGATAGATAATGCATTTATCACACATTTTAATACATTTATAATATAATGTGTCAATTTCTTACCAAACAAACATAATATATTTTAAAAATAATTATAATACATATATATTGCATACATAGTTCACTTTTATCATATTGCAGATTTAACATAGTATTGCTATAAATGGTAATAAATAAAAAGTATCGCTAAAATTAGTAAATATTTATTAAAAGGTACCAATTCAAGTAATTTTTCCAATAAAAAATACCCACACCCAAACAAAACAAAATCAGTGGAAGTTGTCAAATTTAACGTTTCCCCTAAACTAATCTCGACAATCTCTATAATTATTGATCAACTCCATCAACCATTACTTCTTTCCCAAATCTCTTAAACCCCCTTCTTAAAACCTTAGCTACGTCTTCATCAATCTCAAATCTAGAACCCCATCCATTCTTTTGCATCAATTCTTAAACCCTAACAGTAGATTCCACATGTTCACCTTCAACCAACATCCTCACCAACCTTACCAGCGACTTATCATCACATTCAATCGTCCCCACTTTCTCCAAATTACAAATCAATTCAGCGATATATATATGTTCAGCGAAACCCTCTGGGTCAAAGCTAAGACCATATCAACATAGACCCCAAATCAGGGACATCACATTCCAATTGAACGACTGGTAATACTTTGAAGGCCAATCGCAAAGGTCTTGTCGTAGAAGTTCTTTGTAGGCTGTAATTAGATTGTTTTGATGAGACAATTTAAGGTTTTTGAGTCTTGAGCTTCGATTTGGGAAGGGTCAGTTCTTTGAGCTCGTTTTAGAGCTTGAATTGCGACGATGCTTGATCGGCCTTTGACTACAGGGGAATTTCACTTGAGAATGAGAATGATTTGGGGATGAAGATTGGGGAAAGGATGCTACTAAACAAGTCTCTTGATTTGAAATTAAGTGAATTAATTGAGGGTTTTAGGTTATATTAATTTGGGTGGATTTTTTCAATGATTCGGGTGGATTTTTTATAATTCGGGTGGGTTTTTTCAAATTTTGGATAGAAATTTAACAAAGAACGAATCGACGGTTAAGATTGAGACACGTGTTCCACCGTTAGTATAAAGGGTATATATGCACCAAAATTTGGAGGGTAAGGGCACTAACATCCTAAAAGTATAACGAAGGGTATACACATACCATTTACGATAATTCAGGGGTATATTTGTCCTTTTTCTCAATAATTAATGACATAGTGAGTTTACCATTTTACCCCTATTAATTATGAAGTGGATGAAAATTTCTACATTTTTAAAAATAATTAGTCATTTAATTGTGGTATAATAGGTAAAAGGAATTTGTCCTTTAATTTCTTGATTGTCAAAATGGACAAGTAATTAGGGACAACTATAAAAGGAACAGTGTACAAGTAATTAGGGACAGAGGGAGTATCATCTTTTGCTATTATTTTAATTGAATTACTCTCTCCATTCATATTTACTCATTGACGTTTGATTTGTACATTCTATTGGTGTAATATACCACAAATACAATAAATTACAGTTGAAATAAAATGACAAAAATAAATAAACAAATCTTTAGGCTGAGACGCGGATATCTCGCTCTTTGTAAGGAGATTCAAGCCCACTGTGGCATAATCTACACCGATCTAGCAATAATACTCTTGACTTGTCCCCTCCATGATACAATAACTCAACAACGTCGTACAACTCAAACAACTCCGAATTAGTTGAAGAGCACACCTTCATTATGCATTATAGTCTCCCTTTAACTAAATTGGTGAACTCTCTTATTTTAATATTAAAATGAGTGGGGGAATGTTGGTGTATTATGCATTTTATTATTAAAATAAAATATTAAGTGCATAAATTAGTGGTTATGAATTGTGGTAGAAGATGACTATTGGTTCTTGTAACTTATTTATGACCATTAGTTCTTGTAACTCTCATGATCATTAATTTCTTGTAACTCATATGACCATTAGTTTCTTGTAACTCATGTAACATCTATCACATTTATCTACCTACATTACTACCCCTCATTCTACCTATTGATTATATGGAAGACTTCTTCACCTATAAATAGTGGTGTTTCTTCCTTTGTGAAGTATCTAAAAAAGATGAGAAGAGTGAATATTGTAATGTGTAGTAGTGAAAGAGAGAGTTGAGACATAGAAAAATATTCTAAGTCTTCAACTATATTCACTATATACAAGAGAGTATTTATATGTTGAAGGAATGTATTCTTATGTGGAGCTTTGGACTCTTCAAATAATTCGGAGTTGTTTGAGTTGTACGACGTTGTTCAGCTGTTGTATCCTTGAGGGGAAAAGTCAAGAGTATTACTACTGGATTGGTCTAGATTATGCCGCAGTGGGCTTGAATCTCCTCAAAGAGAGCGAGATATCCGCGCCTCAGCCTAAAGATTTGTTTATTCATTTTTGTCATTTTATTTCAATTGTAATTTACTGTATTTGTGGTATATTACACCAACACTATGAAATAATAAATAAATACTCATTTTGTTTTAACATCTCTAACAATTTACAATTTTTTTAGTTTTATATTTATTGTTTTATAAGAGATCTTCATTTTACATGTAAGAGATCTGAAAATGTCATTTTCATATTTTGATATATGTCTCATAAAAGGAAGGCGAACAACTACTTTTAAGACGGTGGACAAAAGACTGTATACACTTTGATCACAATACATTTATATTTCTTATAATTCTCTGAAATTATGTGGCAATTAAATGAGTGTTTGTATGTTTGTGTGTCACTCCACTTATAAGTGGTTTAGTGGTCCAATATTATATTCTCAATACTTAAAAAAGTTTCACATGTGGTTGGTGTAACGTTTAGTCAAGATGCCATAAACTCATCACATGAAATACAGAATGGATAGATTTCCATTTAACATTATGACAACACATGAGACGAAATTGTGCCCTAATAAAAACACATTGGAACTTGCTCTTAGCAAACCAAAAAGTAAGATAATATAAAAAAAAACAAAAAAAGAGATCTACTTTATAATTGTCGGACATATTCATATAGCCTAAAAGATATAAGCATAAAAAAGTTTGATAAAATAATATACAATTACGTCTTAATCTCAAACAAGTTGAGTAACCTTTTTTTTATTGGCTTGTTCGACGAGTTTTAAGGAGATCATAATTTCTTGATCTTGGAAGATAAACAATGGATTCTGAAACAGTACAAGTTCTTTTACAAGATGCATACATGTTCATGAATCCAAATTTGTCACTTAAGCTTCTTGTTGATGAGTTCATTACCTTTGAAGATGATGTAGTAGTATTCTTCCACATGTCACTAAAATCCTCATGATGTTCTTGATGATCCTTGGAACATTCCACAAATGCTGCAAAAAATGGATCTTTTTTGAAGCCTTCACTAGTAGTACTACTCTTTCTTGGAGAAAATTCGTCGCGTAACCTTTGTATTTTCTTGGATGAATTTGGAGGATTTCTAGATGGTGGTGGTAATGGAAGTAGTTGACTTAAAGAAGAGCTATTTTTTCTTGAACTTTGTTGCTTTGGAATTCCAGGAATGTGTTCCCAAGAAAATGGCACTCCCTTTTGATCATATAAAGAGAGTGATTCAAAGGAAGAATGAGAAGGTGTAGTAGAAGAAAGAGTGAAAATTGGGGTTGAAAATGTGGTGGCTCTTTGACCATATCTTGGAGTTGTATTAGTGGTAGGAGAAGTAGTAGCCATTCAGATTCTTGATGAAGAGAGGAAAGGGATGAAGAAAGAAGAGAGTAGTGTTTTTTCTTTTCTTTTATATAATATGTTGTCTTTATTATGTTTATATTTTCCTCTTTTGTAATGTGTATATATAATGAGGGATTCTTTTTGTTTCTATTTTTTTTGTGGTGGTGATAGAGGCTAATTTGCACGCTCAATAGACTTTGGAAAAGAGATATTAAATGACCCCGTTGCATTATTGCAAGGATGGACCAAAGGGAGGAATCACATGAATCACTTTTTTTTTCAAAAAAAATGAAGTTTTCATTAAAATCAGGATGGTAGAAGTAGTACTTGTAATTATGTATTCTTTTTTTCTTTTAATTTCCATTATAACATTGGGAACGGGAAAGGGTAGGGAAAGGAAAAAGGTAATGAGAATTGAACTCACACCGTTACTCACTCAATTATAAAAAAGACTTATAAACTACATTCAAAGTAAAACAAAAAAATTCAATTGTTATTTTGTGAAGTAAATGTTTTGCATTTTTTTCAAGAGGGAGGAAGAAAAAGTAACTTTAAAATGATATCATATTGTAGAATCTTTTAAAACTCAATTGATAATTTGGTTAGGCTTGGTTTATATTGAAGTATAATAGTATTTTAAATTTTCCCTTCATGTTATGTTTTGCTGTATTTCACGTTTGGTTTATTAAAGAAGTTGTTAGAAAAGCTACACATGGAAGTGACAGTGTTTGAACCATGAGGCTAGTTGAGAGTCAATATCTTACTTGGCTACAATTTTTTTTCTAATTAATACATAAATACAAATAAACCTGTTTGAGACAGCCTGTTTTCTGAATATTTTAAACATGACAATGAAATAATGTTATTATTGCACGTTATCTATGTTGAAAGAACTAGTACGAACTACTCGTTTTTTTTAACCTCGAAGTAGAATCTTGTTTATTACTAAGATCACTTACAAGAGAGGGGAAAATATGGCATATACCTCTTCCCAAAAAAAAGAAAGTAAAGACTCACATATGAGAGTTTCCCAAAGGGAAGACATTTTCTATTCAACAAAAATACTATTATGTCTTCCCTTACTATCATTCAAGGTGGTTCATAGTGCCATTTCGAGTGCTTTCCTTTTCTATAAAGTTTCTTTCATAGTTTTTTATATTGGAAAAAAATGGAGAATTTGGTCAGTTGATTTAAGTTAATGTGAGTCAGACGGATATGATTTGGACGCATCTAATTAGGAATGGGTGGGTTTGTAAATAAATTTACGTTATTTAAAATGTGACCATTAGATGGTCGCCACATATTTTAGGAATTAATTAGATTTGTTTAAACGGAAAAGGGCCTAAAATATCCTCGAACTATTAAAAATGGTATAAAATTACCCTACATCCATCTATTGGCTTCCAAATACCCCTTTCATCCACCTATTGGCTCTGAAATACCCTGTCATCCAACTTTAGGTCCAATATTAACCACTTTTAAAGCGGATTATCATTTAAATGTGGCGACCATCTATTGGTTACAATTTAATTACTTAAATTAACTTACAAACCCTCATTACTAACTATACCCAACCCAAATTAACTACACTTGACCAAGTTAAATGAAGACTCTAAATGCAGGTATTTGTATACTTTGCTCTAATCTTTTGTAACCAACGCAAGTTTATACTCACTGTATACAAAGTGTATATCAATATATAATAAGTGTATAATTTTACATTGATTATAATGGCAATTTTTTGTGAAAATATTTGGACTGTGTGCGATATAAAATAGAAAAACTATCTAACTACACATACATTACTATTATATATACTATAATTTAAAAATAATTACACATGTTACCACTTTTAATATTTATACCATATATTTTAAAATATTTAATCAGATACACAAATCTCTTAAATATGGTATTGAATAATTATCTTAAATTTAAAATCCTTAATTAATGGTTCATTTATAAGTCAAAAAAAATTCTACTACATTTGTCGTTTCTCCCCCCACCCCACATCCACCAACCCTCTTTTGTCCTTCATCTTCTCCCTCTTTCTTCCTTCGTCCTCTCAATACATGTTTGCATGTTCAAATCAATATTACGCATATATGTTTGTTTCTATTGTTTTATTATTCTCATGTATCCGGGTTTTGTATTTGAGTTAAAGTTTATAATATCTAAAATTCAATTTTATAAAGTTTTTCAAATTAGGTTTTATATTTTTTTATTTTGTTGTTTCTCAAACACTTTATTGGCCGACCATTCCTAACATCGGATGATTCTTGTTAAAGGTACTATACATTAACAATATTATACTAAATCAAACAATTTTTATTTGTTTATTTTCGCTCATCAATTTTTAATTGCACGGACTGACTTTTCATCTGCCAACATTCAAGCCGAGAATACATCTAAGTATATGAACGACCCAAATCAAGATGGAAGAATTACGCCAAGCTTTAATTAACAGAGCAAATACACCATTAAGTACACATTAAGTGCAACAATGTTGGATACACATAAGGTGTACATGTATCTAGTTAAGAGTCGTGTATCTAAGTTAATTAAGATTATATGTATCTATGAGTAAAAAAAATTCAGATGCTAAAAAGAGAAGGAAGAATTTTGATTTTTTTTTGGATTAATGATAAGAAAGATACGGATCTACCGTCGTGATTTGTTCTTAAATTCGTATGTTTCAGTACATTTCTTATTTAGATACACATAATTATATGTATATGCTTACTATATATCTGAGATACATGTTTGAATATAATGTATGAAATTGATACTTGATACATCAAATTAATACAATATACATATAAAGATACATGAAATTAAAATTAGATCATATAAATGGATACATGAAATTAATATTAGACACATATAACAAATACACAAAATTAATACTAGATACCTTTATGATACATATGAATGTACTTGTATGATACTCATGTATCTAAGTTTTTAATTTGTTGGATACATCATATATTGATAATAGAAATATCAAATTAATGAATTTATTATTTTAAGAGTAATAAAATGAAATTAAACAAATTATATGACCAAGATATACATGTTTTTGTCTTTTATTAATAATATTAATGAGTTTATTATTTCAAAGAATAATAAAATGAAATTAATTAAACATAGATACACTCCTTGATTTTCGCTTTATATTAAGGGATTTGATTAATTTAAATTTCCAAAATTAATTGTCCATTTGACAGATACATGTATCTCACGGATTTAAACTCGTGTATCCTAAGCATGAAATATGATAGAGGAAATAATATTTGAAACTATTGAAAATCTTAGTAATTAGGACCTAAACTAGTTGAATTTATGTAGTTTGCTTATATAAAATTTCTAGTTGATTTGGAATGATGAATGGGATTAGATGACCCACTGTGAGTTGTACATGAGCTTTTGATAAGACTGGACCATGGGCTTTTGATAAGAAAACCAATCGAAAAGGAATGAAATTAAGAGGAGGTTTGGATTAGCTTATTTTAGTTGATTTTAAGTTTAAATGATTTTTAAATAATTTTATATTATTTAGATAAAATAAAGTGCTTTTAGGTATTTATTTTTAAGTCAAAATAATAAAATTTTACCAAAAGTTATAAACTAATCATTTTAATTTATAATTTTTGACTTATAAGCTATAAATTATAAGCACAACCAAAAAAGCTCTAGAAATCAAGCATCTTTTATTTATACTTTCTAAATTTTCAATGAAAAAAGAAGAAGAGAAAAACTAAGGATCTGAAATGTTCGAATATATATATATATATATATATATATATATATATATATATCGATTATATTGATAAATTAATTGGCCGAACAATATATATTATTCCCTTCCTTTCAATTTATGTGACACATTTAGGATTTCGAGATTCAAACATGTCTATGACCGTAAAATTTTCATATATCTTTTAAATATTTTGAATTGTCAATTATTATAACTTAGTACTTTTTACGTAGTTTACAAATATATGAATTTCATTTTAAATTTTTTGAAGATTTCATGAGCAAACCCTTAATCAAACATAAATTGTTTAGCTCCTGAAAAAAAAAATGTGTCACATGAATTGAACATAATATATATGCTCTAGAAGACTAAATAGGGACACGTGACGCAATCTTATCCGTCGATAAATGTCGGATCGGTGGATAAGATTATGACACGTGTATGTCTGTTAGTATAAAGAGTATATATGCTCTAGTTTTTGGACGACAGGGGAACCAATGTCCCAAAAGTATGACGGGGGTATTTGCATACCATTTACGATAGTTCGGGGGTATATTTGTCCTTTTTCCTTTTTAAAAATTAATTGTTTTAATATTATATCTTTCATAATTTCACTTGAATACATCTATGATTTAATTAATTAAAGTTGTAAAACTAAAGTAAAATAAGACAAGAAATATATAAGATGAAAATAATAGAAATATAGAGACAAGATATGAGAGTATTCCTTATTCTTCAAAATATTCAAGTCACTACAATATGAACCCTTATGCCTCTATTTATAGTGTAACACACTACTAAAAAAACAGTGAATACCGACCTCTGGAGGTCGGTATTCCCTGAAATACCGACCTAAAACCGACATCCCAGCTTAGGTCGGAAAAAGCTTGGTCGCTATTCAATACCGACCTCTGGAGGTCGATATTGACTAACCTCTGGAGGTCGGTATTGACTAACCTCTGGAGGTCGATTTTTATTTTATGTCGGAATATTCATTTTTTTAAATTCCGACCTCAAGAGGTCGGTATTTTTATTTTTGTAATGTTGAAATTCTGACCTCCGGAGGTCGGTATTTTTATTTTTGTAATGTTGAAATTCCGACCTCCGGAGGTCGGTATTTTTATTTTTGTAATGTTGAAATTCTGACCTCCGGAGGTCGGTATTTTTATTTATGTAATGTTGAAATTCTGATCTCCGGAGATCGGTATTTTTATTTTTGTATTTTTGAAATTCTCACCTCTGGAGGTCGGTATTTTTATTTTTGTAATGTTGAAATTCCGACCTCCGGAGGTCGGT